TATGTATATCTGTAAATAAGCAGATATTATTATGAATTATATCTAGATGTCCTCCCTTGAACTTCATGCACTCAGAGGTGGGGCTTTTTGGAAGGTGATGGAATCACGGAGGTGTTATAGTAAATTGTACTGTGAGGAAGACTGTGGTTAAAAGAGGTAGGTTACTGAGGGAATGACATTGCAGAGTGACCCTCTTGAGTTCCTCCTTTAGCTCTCTGCTTCTTGGAGCAGGCCAACTATAGACTGAAACTGCTAAAAAAAAAAAAAAGCCAAAATAAATCTCTCCTTTAATTTGTGAGTACAAAGGACGTCCCTTCTCCTCACCCCTGGCTCGAGAAGCCTATGGTTAAAAATACTAAATTATCATTTCAAACAATCAACAAATTATTACTAGTAATTATATTAATAAGCAAACACTTATTAATGTTAATGAATTACTATTTTAATATATAGGTGATTGCTAATGTTAATAAATTAATATTTTGAACATTTTTTCATAGTAATATTTTACATGCCCAGCCTTGTAAAGCCTTTATAGTACTCTATGAAGCTGGCATTCCTTTCACATTTCATGTGTAAAAAGGTCAGAGGTTGAGTAACTTGCCCAAATTCACAAGCTGAAATGACTGGGGGCAACATTCATACAAGCTCTCTCTGGCTTCCCTTGCTCTATTTGGACTATGCGTTGGCACAAGTTCCCACATACTGTGATTGTTATCTGAGAAGGAAGTGTTAAATAACATCCTACACTGAGAAAGTTCCTCTGCATTTTATTTTCAGTTTCCTAAAATCACCTGCTCTGCGTGGGCCGAACTAATCCTTTCTTTAGACTTGCCCCACTTTTCCAGACTACACGGAGAGTTAATGGGTAAATAGACCAAATGTTCCTGACTCCATCGAAATGAAGAATCTGAACGACACGTTCACACAGTTCTTCTCTTTTTGGTACTGGGGCTCGAACTCGGGTCCTTGTGCTTGCAAGACAGGCAGCAGAACCATTGAGGCAAATCCCCAGTACACAATTGTTTTTTTATTCTTCACTGTTACTTATCCATTTCCTTTTCTCTGGTCAGTGCTACTTCCTCTTCACTCAATACCCAAGCTGCAGCACTATCCCCTGCTCTTAAGCTTGAGTATCTGTGACAGGCATGTAGAGAACTCGAAGTTTGTTATTCTTTAGTAAGTAAATTAGAACTATTTTAAAAATGTAATAATCACGGTTGCCATTAAAACTGCACATGCTTTATAATCTGTAAATGTTTGTAAATATATCTGCCTAAATTTATCTTCAAAAGATAGTTGGTATGGCCAACGTTTTGACATACGTTTCCTTCTTGTTTTTCCTACCTTCCATTAAAGGAGCTCATCCTAATTGTTGTGCATTACCAGCAGGAAAATTAGAAAACAAGAGGCTAAGAAAATGCTCATTTGCACCTTGTTTTGTGTGTGACAAAGCTTAGAAAGATATAACCAAGCTGTATACAACTGAATGCTTTGCATTTTCTATTTAGAGAGCAACGATAACATACATGATTGAAATAAAAAGTCTTCTTCAGATCACTTAATTGATTTTCCTGCCTTCTGAAGAATTTTTCTTCATTCTTCACTTTTTAAAAACCATGTTTTTCTTTCTTATCAGCCCAGTTTAGAGAAAGAAATAAAATGAAATAAAAAATTTTAATTCCAGATTTGATATCATCTTGAGAGATATGTAATTGTTACCTTCTCAGATATCTCTAAGAATGATAAATTGTTCAGAAATTGATCCTGGCAAAAGTCATCTGTCGGTTGTTTTTTGCAATGATATTCTGAATAGTTCCTACCGACAATTTCCCATTTCCACTCTATTTTCTATGTGAATTTAGGCTTTTCTAAGAATAAATTTTTGTTATTATTATTATTATTATTATTATTATTATTATTATTATTTGGTACCAGGGAGTGAACTTAGGTCCTTGTGCTTGTGAGGCAGGTAGCAGAACCACTGAGCTAAATCCCCAGACCATAAATGATTTATTCACTATAGAGTAACCAGTACACTGAAAAGAAAAAAGTTGTACCTTTGCTTATATTACCAGTAAACATTTTGGGCAACTTTGGCAAAGTCTTAGGATTGTCAAATATCAAGTCAAGCATAATTAAAATAAATGGGATCTCATGTTTTTCTTTAACATAGTGCAATGTAAATAATCAATAGGACTTTTCCTCTTTTGGGTAATATATTTCTCTGTTGAACACTACAGGGTAAGTATTTTGCTTTCAGAATTGCTTCCTTGCTTATCTTGCATTTTACACTTAATTCAACATAAGAATTCTGCTGTGCTTGTACATAATCCTTGAAGACATGGTTTGATCTTTTCTAGTTGAAACTCCATTTGGGTTCTCTTGAAGAAATCTCTTTCTAATGCCCTGAAATATGTTACTCTCAAGGCGTTTCAGTAAAAATTTATTGAGTTTCAAAATGATCAAATGACTTTGATCTTAAAGGATAGCACCTCCAACCACATGTCCTGCCTACTACTTCGTACCTTACTTTACAATGGTTTCAATCAAAATGGTTAACATTCTTTCAAGGTGCACAGCATACAAGTGCAAATCACTATTTCATTACCCTAACTTGTATATCTGTATTTGTCTCTACTATCTGGGAGGTTGGAAGAGCTAGCACACTTTCCCCTTTCTGACTCCTCCTTTCTGTTGGCTTAGTCCCCCGTATGTTTGCCATAAAGACAATGAAGCTTCGGTTGTGCGGCCTCACATTCGTGTGAGGCACTTCCAAGTTGAGGTGACATTTCAGCAATTAGTTTTGGCAAACTAATCTTGGTCCTTAGTTTTGGGAAAATTTGTCAAAACAAAATATTTTAATTAGACAGCTATGTGAATTTGTAACTTAATTTATGTTAGTAATTTCTTCTTCTTGTCTTTAAGTAGGGCTCTCCAATTTTAAAATATTTGACCTCACAAGACCTAGGTTGTTTTTTGGTGGTATCTTTTGCCGAATAATTAAATTAAAAAGTGAAGGCAAAAAGGATGAATAAATATTTTATGACATCATTACTTCAACATTAAAAATTAGTGTTTCTGGCAAAAATTTCCATCGGCCACCAAAAGCAGGCATTACCATATCATCCTTGTGTGATAATGTTTGAGTTTTTAGAAAGCTTACAAAACTCTTACGTCCAAATGAATTTATCAGCAGTTCACTTTGATTTAATCTTCCAATGAAATGTTGATATTGGAATAGAAGATTGTGCTCTTTGTAGAGTTATTATTGAAGTTAGTGGTTAAAGAGGAAAAGAAATCTGAACACACACAAAATGAGTGGCTTGCCCATGGTTAAACGTGAGGACACTGTGGTGACGCTGAAGTCCTAGGATACCACATCTTTTCCTTATGATGTGTTTACAGGCATTGGATAAGTTAGAATTTATTTTGTAAATAAATATAAAACAAAGCTGAATCAATATTGACGAACATTTCCCCTTCTCCGCTCCATTTTCTTTCCTTTCTCTCACTTTTTTGTTTTCCCTTCCCTTCTTTCCCCTCCCTTCCCCTCCTTTCCTCTCCTTTCTCTTCTTGATGCAGGTGTTTTAATATCATCCAACTGCCATCAAGATAAAACTTTTAAAAAAATTGGAACTAAGCTACTTCTAAACACAAGACAAAAATGTGGTTGCTGGTTAGTCATCTCGTGATAGCATCATTCACAAGCTGTCTATCAGGTAAGAAAGATCCTTTCTATATTCTCCATCAGTTATGTCAACAGAATCAGTATGTTTCCCATTTCATTAGATCTGTTGAGTGAAGTTAGAACTCATAATTTCTTTTGGCATTTGAGTCACTCAAGTAAACAGATTTTATATGTTAAAGTTTGCCCTAATTTTTAAAACTTTTTACTTTCATTTAAAAAGCCACAAGGGATGAAGGGAGGGCAAGGGTATGGGGAAAATGAGAACCAAGATCTGTCATGTAAAGGTACAAGATCACAGTGATGAATGTAACTGTGCTATAGACCTAAAATGTACCAATAAACTCAGTGAGAAAAAAAAAGTCACAAGATATAGTCACCTTACACAACAATGTGCCAGTAAATTCCAAAAATTTGGATGCGGGTATCCCTGATGTTAGTCTTTGTCTATTCCTGGAAGTGAATGCTTCCGGTAGAATGGTCAATTTCAACTTAATACAGCTTAATATGGAGTTGGAAGAGGTTTACCACAGCTCACTCTCAGATAGCATTTTCACTGTCCGGATACCTAAAGTAACTTCAGTGAGGAACACTACAATGTGATAAAAAAGAAATTAACAAGTAATGGATTTTAAACACATGTTCCAGTTAGTCTTCATATATTTACTTATTTATAAGTTAATATATTTTTAATTCTTGCCATGTTTAAGAATTAAATCACCAAATTACTGAAAGTTAATAATCACTTCTTAAGGGTATTATGACTGGTTCCAACACACTACTGAATCTTGCAAATTTTTCACCAGTTTGGTCAATAGTAGGAAAATCGCATTTAAAACAACTTGCCATGTGTGTAGGCATAAGAAGAAGTAATGAAACAATCTCCAGAGTCCTTTAGTTTAAGACATATATTGTATTCTATTTCTGTCTTTCAAAGACAAATATGAAGCATTCAGAGATAATTCCTGTAAGGGAAAGTACACTTTGTTTTTATTTGACTATAACGTGTTTTCTAACAGTCAGTTTTTCAAATACCTGCATCAGTAACATAGTGAGCAAGTACTTGTTAATCTGCTCTCCCACCCTGGCGTAGATGTCTCATCCTGTTGTATATAATAAGTCTATGCTGACTCCTTTATGATGAGCCTGAGGAATATTTTATTGAATTTCTTATTTACTTTCAGAGAAATAAAAAATAATACTGTATTTTGAGTAGTAAATTTTACTGGGTTGACTCTAATTTCCAAAATAGGATGATTCCATTAGTATTTAAATTTTATCAGCATTCATAAATACATATATATATGCCACCATCATTATATACACACACATAAAGATGAACAATGTATGTATATGTATAATGTAAGTATGATAATGAAAACTTTTGGCAAAGTTATTGTGGTAAAGTCTTATTTTTTGTGAATGAGATGAAACAAATATATGATTAGTAACAAAAATACATAGTAATGTTATTGACCTAGAGCTTTAGAGCTCTAACTTTGAAACATAAATATCTGCGTAGATTTGAAGATATTTCATCCTTAACAGTGAGGGGCCAGTACTACCATACCAATTAGCTTCTCAATTTTTTGAGAATTTTTTGAGAAACAGCTCAAAGACTTACTTTAGGACCTTTTTGTTTTTAATTTTATTTTTAGAGTTTACCTGGCATAGAAGATACGGACATGGAGGTAAGTACCTGAAAGGGTACGTCTTTGAAATATCTTAGTTTAAATTTTATTTTTCTGCTTCAAGCTATTGCCTCTGTAAACTTGAAGGCAAATGATTAATGTTAAACCACATAGAAATTTTCTGAGTTTTTTTTTTTTTAGATCATAAAACAACTTGTTTGATTACTGAAGAGGGAATGCAGTCAGTGGAAATAATCATTGCGTTCTGTATCTTCCCTTCATGCTTTGTTACAAGGGTGTGTGAGTAAAGTTTGAAGTAATATTATGAATCATGTGACCATTTAACTTACTTTTGGAAACTTTTCTTCCTATGAGAGAACTACAGTTAGTTAAATTGGAACCTTAAGATTCAGCTCAGCTAGGAATGTACAGATGTTATGAAATTTATTATTTCAGATATATTGACTGTAACGAACAATCCTGCTAATTGACAGTTTACTTTGATCACTGAAAAGTTCTTTCAGAAATCAAAGCAGCATGGGATACTGAGAAAATTAGAGTCTAAAATAAGACGAGCTTATATTTACATCCTCAGCGGGGTACTTCAGTAGCTGATCATGTGATTTTGTATAAATTTTTCAACTATGAGGAGCCTCGGCTTTTCAATATGCAAAAATCATAAGATTCTTTTGAGAACTGAAATAAGAATGCCACAAAATCTAAAAGCTTAGTGCATGATATGATATGTGCTCAATAAACGTAGTAAAACCTGTAACATAAAAAGCAGTGCATAATGGGCGGAGAATGAAAAATCAGGTGGACTTGATGAGCAGCAAGCACATCAAATTGAGAATATCCAAGCCCTACAGAGAAGAACTTCCACACGAGGGACTAAAGCTTAGGAAATTCTTAGCCCAAATTCCATCAAAGCCTTTTCTATTCCAATATTGTGGGTTGGAAAGCAATACATGTATGCTATGTAAAGACCAGTAAGATATTTTCCTTGACTTCATGACCCTGAGCACAAGGTGGGAAATAAGTAAATAACATTTTTATAAGAAATTTTATGATGGGGATTTAAAAAGAATTATTTGAAGAATTAAGGAATTAATGGTAATAGAAAACCTTGATGTATTTTAAATGTTAAAGTGGAATTCTAGGGCCAGGGATTTAGCTGAGTGGTTCTGCTGCCTGCCTTGCAAGCACAAGGACCCCAGTTCAATCGCTGGTACCCCCCCAAAAAAAGTGGAATTCTATATAAAGAAAGTTATTAGGAATTTTATTTAAAAACACTTTAAATTTGAGAAAATCTGGCAAGTATCCTAGGACTGCCATGATAAGATATAACAAATTAAGTGACTGAGAACAGAAGCCATTGTGTCACAGCTCCGAAAGATACCAGTTCAGAGTCAAAGCCTCAGAGGGAGTCTCCCTCCCACCTCTTCCAGCTTCCAGGAGCCCCGAGTGTCCTTTGCTTGGGGCAGCAAAGTTCCTATCTCTGCCTCCAACTTCACATTTCATTCTCCCTAGATCTCGCATCATCTTCTCTCTAAGAATGTCTGTCTCCATCTTTTAATTTCCCCTTTTATAAGAATGTTACTCATGTTGAATTATGATCTACCCAATGGTCTCACTTTAACTTGATTACTTTTGTAAGTCCCTTATTTCCAAATAAGGTTTTATCAGGGTATACTGGGAATTAGGACTTTAACATATAGGACTTTTCCATTTTACTCTCTCCTTCCTTCCTTCCCTCCACCCATCCATCTGTCTTTTTGGTGGGGAGAGACCACAGCATTGCCCTAAGTAAAAAGTATTGTGAGTCTCTGATTAGAGTTATAGTCTAATATTCAGGTGTTCCCTGAGCTCACTCGGCCACTCCACTTTTAGTCACTAATGACCTCACTTTTTTTTTTTGTACCGGGTATAAAACTGAGGACCTTGGGCTTTCAAGGCAGGTGGCAGCACCTCTGAGCTCTAAATCCCCAACCCTAATGACCTCCCTTTATACCCCCCCCCAAAATTTAAATCCTCAAAAAACTCAATAATGCAAATTTACAACTCCTAACCTGAGGTGGACATCTGGGGCTGCCCAGCAAGCAGGCCACTCCTCACTCTCCTGGGTCAAATCACAGGGCACCTCTTTCCTCAAACCTCCCACTGGTTTGTTGGGCCTTGCTTTTGGGTGATGGCTTTGCTTCCTGTTGCATGGGGAAAATAGAAAGGATTTGAAGAGAACTGCACAAGCTCACTCTACCACATGCGCTCTCTAATTGCTCCTACGCCCATATGCTTTGCCTGCTTGTCTTTCCTAGATGCTGTCACCATTCCAGTCCTGCCTTTGTGTGCCAGATCCTATCCTATTTGATCTATTTAAGTTCCTTGACGTTGAAATTGTCACCTTCCAGCTCATGACCAGTTTCTCCCTTTCTGTTGGATTATTGCTGTGAACATGTAACATCCTGTAGTTTCTCTCACCAGTGATGGCCGTTGTTAATTCTGTGGCAACTCTCAGGCTTCCTGCTTGTGTCGCTTGCTGTAGGGCTTAGTCCCAGGATCGTATACAGACACAGAAGTGTCATGAAGGTGAAGATGTGTTTCTTTTTTCTTGTATCCGTCTCCTCTTTTAGAAACGAGGAGACCTTCTCTCTCCTTACAACAACTGTCCAGAGTGGGTCACACATTCATACCCAAAGCCATCACTGGCAGGAGGGATGGAAATAAAGCTGATTAGCTTTTACTCTGAGCCATGGAAGGAAGAATTTGTTCTCAACCAAGGGACGAGCATACTATGGGTCTCCCAAACCCTCGCAGTGCCTGATGTCTGCCACAGCACTTTGGTGATGTGATATTGGAATATCTTATCCTAGATGAGACTTTTACCCAATATATCATCTTACAGAATTAACAATCTTAAACTCATATTTTATAGCAATCTTAGTACTCTAGAAGACTATTTCCTTAAATAAAACATATGTATTAAAAATAGAAACAGGGCCAGGGGTTTAGCTCAGTGGTGCCACCACCTGCCCTGTAAACTCAAGGTCCTGAGTTCGATCTCCATAACAAAACAAACAAACAAACAAACAGAAACAATTTGAAAAATAAAGTATGCTGAGGCTGAAAAACCATCAACACCGTCTATCCTTTCTATGTTTTTAAAAAGTTTCTCTTGTTATTTTATAGATTTGTGTCATCAGTATTCTTTGAGATAAGAGAATGAATATAACTGAGTTGTAGGAAGTCAGCTTGTAATGTTAAGATATTTAGTAACTACATTATTTGAGAGTACACATGTATCTGAGGTACCTTTCCATTCATACTCTGCATTTACTTTTCTATCAGATGAAAAAACAAAACAAACAAACAACAAGCTGCTGCTATTTCAGGACCAACTTTTGTCCATGTAAATCACCAAATGAGAAAAAAAATATTTTTTTTTTTTTTTTTTTTTTTTTGTACCAGGGATCAAACTCTGGGCCTTGTGCTTTCGAGGCAGGTGGTGGCACCACTGCGCTAAATCGCTGGCCGGAGAATAGATATCATTTAAATTCCTCTATAAGTCAGTATTAAGTGTGTAAAGGGAAGTAATCAAATCGAAGAATAAGTATTATGAGAATTAGAAAATGAAATAATGCTTTATGCTTTGCACATTCAGAGTTATTGCATCACATTATAATTTAAAGAGCTAATAGTAAAAAAAATACTTCATTGCTTTACTAGGGAGAGGGCAGAGAGGGAATTTCCCATATTATTACAGCCCCTCCTATACAAATTTCCTGGGCATTTCTTCTCGTATTGGTGACTTCACATTATTCTCGGTACGTTTTCGTATCTCTAAATTTGAGTGACATTTACCACCTTCAGTGACTTATCTTTATTCTGTGATATAGTCCCTCAAGAGCCTCATTAATCAGAGGAGCACAGAGGCAGCCTGCCCCCCGCAGCAGACCCAGCCTCAGGAGCTCAGTGTGTACAAAGACACGAGCAGATATGAGGGGGTGATGGGAAGCTGCCTGGCCACGTGCTTAAAGCTCAGAGTCTGACTGGGCGTTTCAGAAACGGGCCCCAAGTCCAGGAAGTGGCTGCCAAGAGATGCACAAGGCTCTCCTTGGAAAGATAAAGCCACGCAAAGGAGAATTTAGCTTTCTTATACTTTGTGCTAATTTGACCCTAGACTTTGTTCTGATAACTACATTTTTGAGATAATCAAGTTGCATTTTTTTTTTTTTTTTTTTTTTTTTTTGAGACAGGGTCTTACTATGTAGTTCAGGCTGCCCTGGAACTCACTATGCAGCCCAGGCTGGTCTCAAACTCACAGGGAACCTCCTGCCTCAGTCTCCCCAGTGCTGGGATTACAGACGTGTGCCACCATGCCCAGCTAATGTTGCAGTTTTAATTACAGTAAAACTGCAGTCTCACCTAGTAACCATGACCACACAGGAGTAGGCCTAAGAATGTTCACTCCCAAGCCCTAAATGCCTTTGCTTTGTCATCAGTAGGAAGTGGTTGCCCATGGAGACAAGGAACTGTGCTGTCCTCAAGAAGTACGCTCTGAAACAGCTTCAGTACCGCCTAATTTGAGAGTTTATTTTATTTCAGTAGAGCTTACATCATTCCCTCGCTGTAATGAGAAGAATATTATAAGTTTTGTAAAAAATTCCAGTATTAGGGCCGAGGATTTAGCTCAGTGGTTCCGGTGCCTGCCTTGCAAGCGCAAGGACCTGAGTTTGATCCCGGGTACCATCCCCCCAAAATTCCGCTATTAGATCATCTTAAAATTTCATTGTCGTTGCCTTTTTTCTGTTGAGACCTTCTGAAAGTCTTCTTACAACATACTTATGTAATGATTTGTTTAATAACCAACCGATGGAGACGGTAACTTTCAGTGAGAAAATAACTTTGCTTCAACATGGGCATAAAATGAGTTTTCATGAACTTTCAGGCACCAATTGTCATTCTACTTTCAGTTTCCAGAAACAGAGTTGATAATAAGATTGTGGAGGACAATTGCTGCATAACAAAAGGAGCAGCAATCTCATTCCAGATCATGCGACTGA